GGGAAAGTAAACCTAAGCAGTTAATTATGTAAGTTGAGCATAGTGGTACATACTTATAATCCCAGTACCTGCTGAGACAGGAAGATCTTGAGTCCCAGGCCAGCCCGGACTATGTAGGGATATGTTTTCTTTAAAAACATCAACAGCTAATACCCCAGTTACTTCCGTCATGTAAATTGTTCACAAAATAAGTAATAATGACAGTGGCCCTTGAACTTGTACCATGCCCTCCACTACCCAACCACAAGTCTCCTGTGACTTTTAACAAGGTGATTTTTGAATACTTAGGACCCCTTCCTACACTTGTGTTCAAATACTTGTGAGCAAAATGCCTGAGGGCCGAACCCATTCCACTGGCTATTTTTATATGGCCCCTGAGTTAAGAGTGGTTATTACATTCCATCCCTAACTAAGTGAAATGTTACTTCTCCAGAAAAGGATTGCATTCTTCTCATTAGTAGGCTTATATTTTGAAGATGGTAGTCAGTTATCATTAGAATCTTGAGTACTGCTAACAAGGTTGTAGAAATGGGTTTATTATGTAAGTACCTACGTGGCATCTTTGAATTTGCCTGTTGGCTTGCAAAACCTAAAATACTTATTATCTGATGCTTGGCAGAAAATGCTTGCTAATTCCTGATTTAAACCCCAGAATGTGCCAGCCTGGAACTTACCTGGGCTGCTCCAAGGAAACTGGTAGTCTGGACATGTCAGCACTCACCATGGGCTGGCCCTGTGCTTAGCCCCTTATAGTCATTAGCTTCCTAATTGTCACGGCAACCCTGAGGGGTGTGTATTCTCATAATTGCCATTTTACACATAGGGGAAATAGCTCAGAGAGGTTTCAGTCTTTGCCACACAACTGTTAAGTATCAGTTGGTTCCAAAGCCCAAGCTAGAGGTTTGGCAAAGAAAATGCTTGCCATCACTGCTCTGGCTGTTGGAGAATATGTCAGACCTGGCCTGCACTTGAGGTACTAGTAATGCAGTGTCAGAAAAAAGACATGCACAAAGCATGAAAGGAAGCACATTTCAAGACCATGGTGGTTTAGAGGAATAATAATTATTAAGATAAGAATAATGTCATTGTCACAGTGTATTCCCAGTACAACAATAATAAAAATAAAGTATAAAAAAAATAGTGTCATTCGTTTGGGAGATGCTTGCTATGAAGGTCGTTCTAAACCTTTTATTTATATGTATATATATATATATAAAAACATATATATGTTTATACATGTATAAATAACTATAAAGATTGACTTTTATTTTACCTAACTTGCAAAACGAGCCAAGATTTCCTTTTTTTTTTTGGGTAGTCCTGGGGTCTGAACTCAGGGCCTCTACCACTTGAAGAGTCCCACCCCCAGACTTGAAGATGTTTTGGTGTCGTTCAGTGTCATACCACTCATCTCCCGATCTCCCGATGTCTCTCATTAGATTCGTTTCTTGTCTTACTTAATTTCTTGCAGCCTAGAAAGGTTTAATCCCTGTGTAGGCCCAGGCAGCAACCCAGTGGTGGAGTCGGGGTTTGAACCAGGGAAAGCTGAGTGCCTTCTCTGCTCACCAGGCCCTGTTGCAATGGAGACATGGCTGCTCTGATGACAGCAGTCAGATCTCCTGTTCAGCATGAAGCCAGGCGTGCCACTCAGGTCATCTGTGGTATCCAAAAAAGAATCCCACCCAGTCTCTGTATTCTTATGTTTCTGACCTGGCATCTGTCACTTCATCCTGGCCTTCCATTTGCCCAGCCCTAAAGTTAAAATATTGAACTCAATTGGTGGTTTTCAAAGTGACCCTGGGGCCTCACCATGGTAGCTGCATGTTAACCTGCTAGAGTTGCTGAGCCTTTAGTAAAATTTTTTTAACAAACATTTTTGCAGTCCTGGAGTTAGAACTCAGGTCCTTGTACTTGCTAGGCAGGTGCTCTACCACTTGAGCCACATCCCAGGCCATTTTTGCTTTAGTTACTTTTTAGGTAGAGTCTATTGCTTTTTACTTGGGGCCAGCCCTAGAGCTGATCCTCCTACCTCTGCCTCCTGAGTAGCTGGGATCACAGGTATGTGCCACTGTCCAGTCAGGAAAATTTTGCTAGACAAAATAGTGCTTTGGCTCCCACAGCCACTAACTAGGACAGCCCCAGGCCTTCCCAGATCTCTGAGTCCTGGAATTGAAGCTAGCCATGGGGTAGAATTGAGAAACTGATAAGCCAGGTCCTTGTCCCCTGTCCCCATAGCCAGGTCTACCCACCATCACCAATGTGCTCTGTGAGTATCAGCACCTGCCTCTGATGCCCTTGGGCCAGTCAAGGACAGAGACAGAGATGGTCACATTGGTAGCAAGAGTCATACTTGCTGTTCCGCTTGGTCCCTGCCAAATTCACAAGTCCACAAAGGAACTCACTGACAAATCCTGATCCTGCCATAACAGTGTGTTGTCACCTCCACACACACACTGCATTTGCCCCCCTCTCGCCCGTCGTGGGTGGGACAGGCATTTCTGCTTTTATCTTTTTGTGCTCTTGAAAGCCATGGCCTCTTCCTGAGTGGGCACCTTAGATGGGGGCTTCACTGCACCCTGGCCAGATGTCCTGTCACTTCCTGATGGCATGACTAGCATGCTTAACTGCAGCCCTGAGGTTACATCAGACCCCTAGAGGGAACTGCAGTTTTTCTGATCTTTCAGTTTTAGAGCCTTGATCCTCAGGCAGGTTGGTGGTACAGTGTGGTGTGACGCTAAGTTCCCCGACGACGTGTGAGGGTCAGGAAGGTGGTTTTGCAGCTAGCGATGCCAAGCCCTACACACACCCTCTCTTGCGCTGGGCTCTAAGTTGGCTATTTACACAGCCCAGGAGTTACTGAAGCAGCCAGCAGAGGCCAAAACATGTCCTCTGCTGGCCAAGCCAGTCCCAGCCAAGCACACCTGTGGAGTGCTTCCCCACTATTAGACTGCAGGTAGCTAGAGTTAAATTAAAGCTCAGATCTGCCAGTGGGCGGAGGGGCAGGCCCACTATTACAGCCTTTTGTCCCCAACAGAAACTGTTTGTGTAATTGTGATTATAGAACCCTATGATTTGAAGACTTTTGCATTTATTTGTTAATAGCTTATTTTTCCTTTTAAAAAAAATTAATCAAGCCAGATGTGGTGGTACATGCTTGTAATCCCAGGACTTCGGAAACTGAGGCAGGAGGATCCAGAGTTTAAGGCCAGCCTGAGGTATATAGAGTGACCCTGTTTCAAAAAAATGCTAACAAGTAAGTAAACAAATGAATGAATAATTGGTATATGAATCAGCTTCAGTGTCAGAGCCTCATGAGTAATTGCTGTGACGCTGCTACTTTCTCATGACCTTGAGTTTCATTGTTTAACCTCCACATGCCTTGATTTCCCCATCTGTAAAAGTGGAGTATTGAATGCACACTTCCCAGAGCTGCAGAGTGAGAACAAAAGGAAGTGAATAACAAAAGCCTCAATTCTAAACTTGGTTTCCTGGTTTTGCGTTCTGGGCTCTGTAAATTGAGAATGCAATAGACCACCCCGGGGGAGGGGGGGGGTAGTTATTTTAAGTATGAAATAAGTTAAAAGGTGTGAAGTTCTTATGTCAGGACTTGGTATAATATAACAAGTACTGCTTAAATGTTTGTAGCATCTGAATACAGTAATGCCTGCATGTAGTAAAATCCAAGTGAATGTTAGATCTTGCTCAGTGACTCTCTTCCAAAAGATTGTCTGGGGAGACAATTGCCCAAATATCTGCTTGAGTTGTTTTGCATGAAAGATGATGTTTGCATGAAAAGAGGAGGAGGTATGAAGCTTGGAAGAATATTTCCATCGGCACAGGCATGTCTGTGATGTCACTTAGAGCCCTGAGGTCCTCCATGGAATGTCCTGGGCACATGGTGGAACCAAGAAAACCATTAGCAGAACTCTAATAGTCTTATGACACATTTAACAGGGATGAAGAATCTCAGGTTTAAATTCAGGGCTACATCTCTGGTTTATGAAGGATGCTGTGAGATTGATTGGGCCTGCTTGGGAGAATTAATAAAGACAGTGGTCCATCTCTACTGAACTATTCCTATCTACTTCAGGGTCTTTGCCTGTGCTGTTCCCCTTATCTGAAATGCTCTTCTTCATCTTTTTCTGCTTCTGCCCTTCAATTTGCACTTAATTAAATTCACTTCCTTTAGTCGCAGTCCCTGTTATGCACACCTTGTAGTGTGCCACAACTCTTAGGAGTTGTGTTGGGCAGACACTAACTTATGTCTTGCCTAGCTTTCTTCATGGAGTGACTGTGATGTGTCAACTATTGGTTCTCAGCCCAAATGTCATTCTACTTAAGTGAGGATATCTCCTTTTTTTTTTTCAGTACTGGGGTTTGAACCTGGGCCACCTGCTTGCTAGGCTGGCACTCTACTGCTTGAGCCACACCCCCATCGGACATCGCCATTCTTAGATCCATCATTTTTGAGTTGGAGGCACACTTGGATCTGGATTGTCCTTGTGTGAAATAATACCGGGGCCACGTCTGGAATTCTGCCATCATTCATGGCTTATAGTTTTCTTTTCATGGTGATTCTCTCATCTTGTCCCAAACTGTGTTCCACTGAGTATCTTTTCATAGGTGTTAACTAGAGAGGGGTTCCAAGATTTAATCCAAGATTGGGAATGCATGGATTAAACAAAGTTCAGTCATTTCTGTCCTGCAAGACTTCTCAGAGACCTTACCGTGCTGGTATATTGTATTTCCTGGAGTGGGGGAGGGATTGTCATGTTGTTCACCATTTCCATCACGGATGAAAATCATTTCTTTAGGACATGTAGCCTGTGCTGGTGTGCTCAGAACATGCCCTGGGAAACACTGCCATGTTTTCCACCATCAGACGCCAGTGCTGCTCAGCATAAACAAACACAAGGCTGTGATGTAGCACCAGCAAGCCTGGGGTTGTGATTGCATTTGCAGCATCATGTAAGTTACCATTGTGTTCTTTTTACAAACAGAGAAGGAGACCTTCCTGGATCCTTTTGTCCTCCGGGACCTCCTGCCTGCATCCCTGGGCAGCTACTACCGGTACACCGGCTCCCTGACCACTCCACCATGTAGTGAAATCGTGGAGTGGATCGTCTTCCGGAGGCCCGTCCCCATCTCTTACCATCAGGTAGGTATTGTGCCCCACAGCGTATCTCTGTTTGCTTGTTTTGTGTTGACTCAACTGTCCAGCATTGGTAGGATGTTTCCTTAAATTCTTTGTTCTTAATTGGTTTCTTTAATCTTTCCAACCAACATCTTTTTTTGAATCCAACGAATTATCTACCTAGCTGAGAATCGCAGGCATGAAATGAGGTATTGTTTAAGGATTCAGTCTTGAGGAGTTGTTGATTTATCAGAGACTTTTCCAAGCTCTTCATATATGTTAATCCATTTAATCTTCATGAATCACAGACTTATGAGGTGGGTACTATTTGTATCCCCATTTTATGGGGGAAGATGAAGAGATACAGAGTGTAAGAAACACGCCAAGATAGCTGAGTTGACTGAGCCCCAAAATCCTTCTCTAGCCACTAAGCCTGCTCACAGTTGAGAAAAGAGATCTGTATGCATGAAGAAATTAAATAAAACATTCATTGAGCTCTGTGACTCACTTTTTGTCATTGTGACAAATACCTGAGCAAATCAAATTAGATGAGAAAAGATTTATTTTGGCTCAGGGTTTCAGAGTTGTCAAGTCCATAGTTGGCTGGTTCCATTGCTGTGGGCAGAGCATCATGGTGCCAGGAGCTGGGGGTGGAGGAGGCTAATCATCTTATAGTGGCAGGATGTGGAAAGTCACAAGGGAGGGAACTGGGACAAGATATAGCAGTCAAAAGCATGGCCCTTGTGACCTACTTCCTCTACTCAGCCTTACCTTCTAATAGCCCATTCAGCTATTAGACTCATCAATTGAAAAATCCACTGATGAAGTTAGTTCTGTTCTGAGTCAGTCACTTCTCAATAGTGGCAGCAGCTGAAGACCATGTCTCCACTATAATAAGCTCTTTCCAAATGCAAAACATTTTACTAAGCACTTTATATATGTTAGCTTCGTCAGTGGCAAAACAACACTGTGAGGTAGGTATTGCAGACACATGGCACACAGAACATTACAGCAGGAAGAGTTGAGTAGCATGCTAAGGATTCATGGGTAATGAGTGATAAAGCCTAAAACCACACTTGGCTTTACTTGATTCTGAAGCTCCAGTGTTTTTGACCAGTGGACTATACCACTTCCTCTGGGTGTGACATGAACAGATTTCCCTGGAAGATAGGGTGTAGACTGAGCAGTTAATCATGGGTAAAAATCAGTAAAATGGAAATGGAGTTGGGTCCTTTAAATCATCTCACAAGGATTACTAGATAGAAGGGGAGAATTCCTGGAAAGGGCATGTTAGCTGTCAAAAACGTACCGAGATAGGAAAAGAGCAAAATGTTTTCTGTTTAATTCTCAGAATTCAAGCCAGGAACAGTGGGGGTAGGATTTGTAAGGAAGTGAATTGGGACCACTAATCAGGACTGTCTACAAATGGAAGATTCTTATCCGGGCCTTTCAGAGGAATGACCTTCTTGCTAGCATTATGGCTGGGGATAGGGATGGCACAGAGGGAAGAAGGTGGAAAGTCTAGAATTTTCTGGTAGTATGCCAGTAGGGTAACTAAAGACACCTGCAGCAAGACTTTGAGCCTGACTGGTATGGGAGATTGTCCAGAGATTTTCCTAACAGGATAGTGGGTACTGAAGAGGGAATGGAGGAGAGGTTTGGTGGTGTTCTAATCAGGCCTTTTTTGGATGAAAAAACCAGAAACTGACCTCAAGCAGCCCAAGGAGAGGGAGTTTTGTGAAGAGACAGGGCGTTCTGAGATAAAGCAACAGGATGGTAACTAGTTAGTGAAGTAAGTAGTTTTCTCTCAGACTTGTAGAGTCCATGTGGTCTCTTGAATCTTGGAGTTACCTGACCTGGCTTTGTGAGCAGTCCTGTCTTTAGTATAATTCTGGTCCCTGCTCTTTTCCATATTGTCTTCTCTTGTTTCCACAGCTCAGTTTGCCTGCCCTAGTACTAGTTAACCTTTAAACTCAAGGGCTGGCTACTAGCTGACAAAGCTTCAGTCAGCTATTAAAGCAGGTTGATCTGAATAAACATTGAACAGCTGACTGATATAGTGGCTTTGGGTCATGTGACCATCTTTGTGGAAAGTCACTGTCACTAGAGGGGTTAGACAGTGTCCTCAGAGTTCCAGTGTTGTCCTTCTGGAAGTAAACTGGGTAGCTTTCTAGAAGGAGGCTGGAGCAGGAGAGCTCCTCTATCTTTCTACCAAAGTTAGATGGTGTAGAACCAGGCTAACCAGATTTATTTGGCTTTACTGCTGTCAGCAATCATTTTTCTTAGAATTTTATTTATTTTTAATTCCACTCTTACAAACAAGGAAGGACTTGGCAATTTGATTTCTGAACAGGATCTGCTTGCCGTAAGGAGATAATGAAATAAGAAGCAAGTTTTCTTCCTAATGGAGAAGCCAACATTGTTTTATTTTTTTTTTAAAAATGAAATTATAATCAAAATATTTATTTCTGCAGGGTTTAGGGAAGCGGTTTCTTTTTCCTTAAATGGATCTTCTTTTTTTAATCACTTATGATAAATGCTTTGGTCTTCAAAGATTTAAAGGCTTGAGGTAATAAAGTCAAACAATACAGGTTCAGCTACTTTTTTGTAGTATTCCAGGTAAAGGGAAAAACAAAGGGTAGCAGTTGGTTGGCTGGGGAGATTTGAGGACCACTCACAAATAATGGGTTTTGTGGGAGCTCTAGATGTTTAGTTGGTCCAAACAAACACCCAGTTTGGCGGTTGGATGTCTGATCAAGTATTTGTCAGTTAGAAGCTTCTAGAAATCTGTTTGCTCTTCCACTCTACCACTCAAGGAGAAGAGATTTCTTTGCCTTCCAATGCATACTTCTTGGAAGGTATTGTTTCAGGGAAACCCAGAAGAAATAAATTAATCTTACGTGTTTTCTAATTTCTGTGTTACAAAACCATCTTCAGCTATGACTTCACTTTTGTCAGGCACCACTGCATAACATCCCTGTCTCACTCCCATGGGGAGACGTCAGCTCATTTTCTTGTGACCTCTCTGGATCCTTGCAGGCTAGCTTTGTGCTGGTCACAGCTGCATCATCCTCTGGAAAGGAGAGCGCTAGCCATCCAAGTATTATCACTTCAGACCTTCCCATCGCACCCTGCCAACATTCTTTCTGAACTTAGTACAGAATGTTCGCTTCAGAAAGGCGAATGGCCAATTTGGAAAAGCCAAGAAGTTAGGAACTCCACATGTTTCTTTCTGAAAGAAAATGTTCCTAGTTCATCAAGGCCTTCATTCCTCTATTTCTGCTCTCCTCTCCTCTCACCTTCCATCCCCTCCCCTCTTCTTCTCTCCCCTCCCTTCCATTCTCCCATGACCCTTTTCTGACTGGTTATCTCTGTCATAAACAATAGGACAGATCTTTGGAGTTAAGGCCCTGTGCCTTGGAGGCAAATGGCCTGGACTCCATTCCTGGCTCTGTTCTTGGGTCAACTCACTCAACGACTCCGCCACTCACTGCTTCAGTTTTCCCATCTGTAAAATGGTGAAGGTAGAGGCGTTATAAAGATGAAATGATGGAATGTACATCATACCATGCTGGCGGAGTGGCTCACGTGGTAAAGCACCACCAAAAAAAAAAAAAAAATTAATAGATTTTCATTTAGCCAGGCACCTGTGGCTTACGCCTATAATCATAGCTTCATGGCAAGCTGGGATCTAGAGGATAGCCATTGCAGGCCAGCCTAGGAAAACAGTTAGACTCCGTCTCCAAAATAACCAGAGCAAAAATGGACTGGAGGTGTGGCTCAAGCAGTAGAGCGCCTCCAACACCCTGCGTTCAAACCCCAGTCCCACTAAAAAAAAAAAAAAAAAAAAAAAAAATGCCATGGCCTTGTCACCCAAACAAAATGGTAATACTCTCTTAGTGAGGGATGTCAAAGGAACAGGACTACCCTTTGACAGGACTACTCTTTTCTGACTGAAGTTATCTCTGTCATAAAGAATAGGACAGATCTTCGGAGTTAAGGCCCTGTGCCTTGAAGGCAGACTGCCTGGGCTCCATTCCTGGCTCTATTCTTTGGCCAACTCACTCAACAACTGTGCCAACTCAGTAACATGGTGAAGGTAGAGGCATTAATGATGAAGTGACGGAATGTACAGGAAATACCTAGACTTGTACCTGACAGCTTATGTCGTTCTACATTTTCCAGTAGTCACACTGAACAAATATAGAGGAACAGATGAAAATATTTTTTTGTGTTGCTGAGAATCGAACCCAGAGCCTCAGGTATGTTGGGCAAGCAATCTACCATGGAGCTATAGCCCCAGCCCCAAAATTGATGTTAATAAATAGCCGAATCCAGTATTCCAAAATATTATTATTTCACTGTGAACTAGCCACGTTTCTAATGGACTAGCCAGGTATAGCTGCTGGCTGTCACAGTCCTAAGGTATATCTCAAGGCCATGACAACTATGAATCATTTAATTCAGTAAGTTTTTGTTCTATGGTGTGCATTTCACATCAACCAAGAAGATTTCTAAATAGTGGATGAACATGCTGTCATTAAGCCAAAAACGATAGCTTTCTGTATTAATTATAGCAAAGTCCTTTTTTTTCTGAACAAGGCCTTTCTATAATTGCCTTCATCCAAAACTGTAAGAGTTACAGGATTGACATGATCCTGCATTTAGCTAGCTCTTCTCAGGTTTCATCTTTGCAGCTGTGGTTCAGTCAGTAAAACGGGATGGTCCAGGCTAGGGGGAATTTTCATATTCCGTCATTATTTTCTACTTTAATAATGAGGCAACACAACAGGGCCTGCCCTGTCATCCCCCAAATGTATAGCAAAGCCAAAGTGTCTCTGACCTTAGGTGAGACACTGCAGCCTGCAATGCTTTTCCTCTGGTTTTTTATTGTGCTAATAATGGACTCTGCTTTTGTTTAATTGCCACTATATACCCATCCCTTAAAATATTGTACATATCAGCCTTTTAATGCTTCGTATTTCTATTACTTTTGGTTTCTCTCCCCTCCAGCCACAATGGCCTCTCCCTACTTCTGTGGACAAAAGCGCCTGTGACATCAAATAGCTTGAGTAGATTTCAACTTTCCTTTGATTTGAACTGACAGATTAAAAACTTATTATTCCTCAGTAATACTTTTATAATAAAAACTAAGTTGAAATGATTTATATATACTTCCAGCCAACACATTTGCAATTCAAGGTTGAAATTGTTCTTGAAACAGCACCAGTTAAAATGCAATTACAACTCCCCAAGCAGGGATAAAAGAAAGAAGTGTTTTACACATTCACTTCAAAAGTTAGAAAGTCAATTTAATATTATAGAAATAAAACTTTCATTTATTTTTACTAAATGATAAAGACTTCATTAGTTATATTAAAGTAAAGATAAATCCATTGTGTTTATTACCTTCTTCTGTAAAAGGGTAAGACGAAAAGAGCGTGGTGAGTTGGAAGGTATTTTTCCTTCTGTCCACCATCTTGCTGCCCAGTTCTTTCTGTGTTGGGCCATAGTTGGGTTCCTTTCAGAACACCAAAGAGGACAGATAGATTTATGATGCCAGTACTAGGTTCTCTAGTTAGAATGGCCTTGGGGTCAGCTCTGGGAATCCTTTGGGGACTTCCACTGTCACCACATTCAGTGCTCCCTCTGTGTTGCTTCTCTCCAATGAATCATTCTGAGGGTCTGTATTGTGTGTGGCAGGAAATGACTGAGAACACGAGAAATGGAGTCACCTGGCTTTCTAGTCCTCACTTCACTCGTTGGTTCCTTTGACTGTGGACAAGTTACTTAATGTCTACACGCCCAGCTTTCTTATTAGTCAATAAAACCAATGCTACTGTTAGCAACAATACCGCCAGCCTATGGGATCTCTGTGGTGATCTGCACCTGCTGCTTTCACCCCATGCCTTGCACAAAACAAGTACTCAGTAAATATTAGCTGCTAGTGTTAATGATAGCATTGTTAGTGTTACTGTTTTAAGCTAAAATCAGTTAGAAACCAAAATAATTTCTGTAAAGTGCTTAATAACCACCTCGCACAGAGCAGGCTTGATAATACAAGAAATAAAGAGGAAAAGAAGGAAAAGCAGATATTGACACCTTGCAGATGTTGTAAATTCAGCGTACGTTGTCACCACATTCCTCCTAAAATAATATCAATTACAGTTATTGAGCACTAACTGTGTGCCAGGAATTCTTCCAACTACTTTATAAACTCATTTAATAGTTAGGAAAAGCTTATGAAGAAAGCTTGCTATTATTGCTATTGTACTAATAAGGACACTGAGGCACTGAAAGATTAAATAAGCTGACCAAGGTCACACCTTTGTCAAGTAGGGTTCGAAACACAACTTTGAACTGATTTAGCAAGAGTTTCAAAGTTGGAGAATGAGGCCTAGGCCAAATCATGAGGGCCGCACTGTGAAGAATGGGAGACTGAGCTGGGTGTTGGGGCCAATGCCTGTATTCCCAATTATTTTGGAGGCAAAAGCAGAATTGAGAGTTTGAGGCCAACCCAAGCAAAAGTTAGTCAGGCCCTATCTCAAAAACAAAATACAAACAAAAATGGTGGGGGTATAGCCAAAGTGGTAGAGTGCTTGCCTGGTATGTATGAGGCCCTGGTTTCAATCCCTAGTATTGCAATTAGATAGGTAGGTAGATAGATAGATGACAAAGAGGCAATATTGGACAGAGGTATGGTGTGACTTTGTGTAATTTTTAAAAAGGATCACTGTAGCCTTTAACTAGATCTGAAAGGGCCATACACATTAAGCATCAAACATGTACACTGGCCAGACATCCAGAGAGATACCACTTGGTGTGAGTTGTCCAGTGACTCCGGGGTTATTTAGTACCGTCATGTCACACAACACTGCAGGGCACCGCAGCCACTAGGAGTTAAACAGAGTGGAGTCCCAAGTCAAGGGTAGGGGTCCAGTGACAACCTGAAGGATGTGCTAGTAGATGTCTAAGTGGAATCCAGGAATCATGGAGGCTTCCCACTCACTGGCCATGAATGGCAGTTACCAAAGACACAGGCCACTGGTCATTTCCACTTTGAGGAACAGCAGTGTTTTAGAGTGCTGTCAACCACCAAAGGGCATTTGATGAGTCTGCTAAGCTTGTCCTCCTCCTTGAACTCTTTTGTGTGACTGTCAGGCGAAGCTATGATCCAGTTGACAATATAATACCGCTCAGGTCATCAGTTCACTCAGAATCATCATCGTCTTCCTTCAGAATCTGTTGGAAGTTGAGTTAATGACAAGAAAGAGGCCCAGGCTTTTAAGCCATAGCATGTCATTAAGCTGTAAGAGCAATTTAAGCAAAGGCATTTTTGAGTTTCATTCACAACCTGCCTCTTTTTACAGTGTTGTGGCTAATTCTGAGCCATCAGAAACTTTTTTAGCAGAACTAAAAGCTACCTGGAAGAAACAGGTCATTGTGGAAAGTCTTCCAGGCCATCCTTTTGTCAGAGACTAACTTAATTCAGGATAGTTTTCTGTTTCTCTTTCCAGAAAATTCCTTTCTAAAATTGCTATGTATGGTATCCAGTCCATGTTTAAAATAAAATGAAAAAAGTCACCCTGAAAGTTGAGATTTTTCCCTTTATTCAACTCACGTCTCTAAGCTTTAATTTAAGCTAATTTCCTTTTATTTGGCCTTCCTGGATGTGGAGAATAGCTGGTCAGCATCTTCCACATACAAGGACCTTTAATCAAATTACTCCTTACTCGCCTTTTCTTCAGGCTAAACAATTCCACTTCCTTTAACCTTTCTTCACAGAACTCTCCATCCTTTTAATCATTTCGGTTGGTCTTTCCCTTGGACCGTCTCCAGAGGGTCTTTGTTAATTCCTTTCATACAATTTTCAGAAATAATTTTCTCTTAAGAAAATCAGAAACCTGCTTTCACTTTTTTGATGCATTTGGTCTGATTTTGGTCATCTTATCAAATGAGTTACATCACTGAGTTGAGGTAACATCTGTAGTTGTGTACATCTGTGTGGCTCATATCTGGACAGAGTAAACAGTCCAGTTATTAAATGTTTTTCCGTCGTGGTTCATATAACTAGAGAAAAAACAAAAGAAAGAAGACAGATTGTAAGTAGAGAAACAGTGCGAGGTGTTAGAAGTCTAGTGACTTGTGGACAGTTGTGTCACATGACAGGGTACTTTTGCTCTTGGGCTAGGAGAGAGGCTGTTCTCTTTCTATTACCTCAATGAAAAGGCAGAGAAGGTTTCTTCATGTTTTTTTACCACTTTACGTAAGCAGTAGAATTGGAGGGAAGGTGGAGTGATAGGTGACTCTGAATTGAAATGATTTTTCTTGGCTTAAATCGCTCTGTGAATGCATCATTTTCTCATGTAAAGAGGGAGTCTCAGATTGCTGGTAGCAGGTTATTTTCTGGGTCATTCTGTGAAGCTATTTGAGAAACAGTCGTCTTAGCTCCAAGCTTCTAGAAGAATCTGGAAAAGAAATCTAGTAATTCTCTTTTCTTTTTTATTTTACACACTGGTTCCCCGAAGCCTGCAAGCGTCTCTCCCTCCCTTCTGGAAAAAGATCTTTCTAGCGACCAGTTGGCTTGGCCATTCTCTCCTGAGAGCAGCATTCTCTGGTGACTTCAGAGGAGCCAGAAGGATGAGCCATGCCCCCACAGCCTTTCCTCTTCGTTCACCTGCCTCATGGAGTTAGTATTTTTGGTCCATTGCTTTGGTGACAAGAATAACTTGGTGGACCAATGAGTACCTGTCTTGACAGTTTGGCTTCATCTGTCATCCACAACAGAATGGTCTTTTTAGTGGGCCAAAGATGGAGGTCACAAAGAGTCGTTTCAGTCATAGAAATATGGTCATAGGACTCTGAATTTTTTTCCCTTTGCTTTTCTCAGAAACTTTTATTGGCACTCTCATAGAAGATGTTTCTTCTTGTTGATAATAATGACAACAGCCAGTCTCTTTTGAAAGCTTACTGTGTGCTAAGTGACTTAAGAAAGGTCTGATCCTTTCACACAATAGGCCCTGAAATTGCAGATGTTTTACAGATGGGGAGACCTGAGTTTCAGAGGACTCGAATAGCTTATGCATGACCACCCATCCCTAGATGTTGAACGTGGACTTGTAGCTTAGCCATGTATTTAGCATTAAGTGACTTGGTGACTTGGCTGAACTTGGCCACTAGTATGTCAGAAGAGGCTTATTGATACAAATTAAGTCGCTAGCATTTATGGAGATCTCATGTGCCAGGAACTGTTTTTGAGCTCTGTACATGGACCAAAACCCTGGCATACTAGAGCAGGTGAGTCATGGGGCTAGAATATCCCCTGGCAGTCTGGCTCCTGTACCTCCAAACCACCACAAGTCTAATGCTCTTCCCATAATATTAAAAATGTAGCCAGGGAACTCTGCAGAAAGGACTCTAGTCTGAGATATGGTCTCCAAGAGTCGCACCCAGCCATCAGGTGGGGACGGTCCCTGGTTAGCAGGCAGGACAGAGACAGCAGGCAGCTGTGTGTCCTGTGGCGTGTACCAGCCTTGGTATTGTCACTTCCTGCCATTTTGTGTTGTTAACACCCCCACCTGCTTTGGTTCACACAGCTTTTCTAATTGATGTGTTTTTTTTTTTTCCTCCCTTCTCTGATTCTCTGTTCAGCTCGAGGCTTTTTATTCCATCTTCACCACGGAACAGCAAGACCACGTGAAGTCGGTGGAATATCTTAGAAATAACTTCCGACCACAGCAGGCTCTGAATGACAGGGTAGTGTCAAAGTCTGCGGTCCGGGACGCCTGGAACCACGACATGGCAGACTTCTTAGAAAACCCACTAGGAACAGAAGCCTCTAAAGGTAAATTTGGATTAAGTGCCCTAGCCTGGGGGAAAATCCCTTATCATAAATTAACTTTAAATTAAAAGGAGTTCAAAGAAGCCAAGAGTTGAAATGATGTTAAGAACATATGTTTCTGTTAAAAAAAAAAACAAAAAAACAAATAACTTGTCTGGATGATAAATAGAAGTAATTGTGGAATGACTTCAGTTTAAAAGGTATGTTAAAAATCATCCTTTTGAGTCGTAATAGATCATTCATCCTCTCTGCGTTTTTACCTTGTCTTTCAAAACTAATTAGGAGTGTCTATTGAAAGCTCTTGGAGAATGTCTTACTTGAACGATTTCCCTGTTGAGATCAGGATTTTTTTTCTGAGCTCAAACATCAGGATATTTGAATTGCAGCCAACACCCCATACCAAGCACAGACTCCAAGTCTACATGGCTCCCCCACTGAAAGTCACTTGCTTCTTAAAACCATTCAACAGCTAAATTCCCGTATCTGATAAGCATGAATATAGCATTTCAGACATCTAAGACTTTTCCATTTGTGCTTTCTTGTGTGAAATGAACATGGGTTCCTCTCCCAGAAATCCAGAAAATGGATTCTACCTTGAAGGAATAGCGGTGGAAAGCCCTGGTGCTTGGAAGGGAGAAAGGAATTTTCCTTTGGTGAGAAGAGGTGGATATTTCCCAACCTAGTACTCTCCTCCTGTGGAATCGTTGGCTTGGGTGACATGGGAAGTGCTGTGCCCCTTGTCAACACTGGAAGTAGTGTGGTGAGTTACATGGAGAGCTTTTATTTGAAGAGCACCCCCACTTCCAACAAAAAGGACCAGTTTGTTAGCATATCAACTTCATAAAAACAGGGGGCATGACTTTGTATTCCACAGATAGCTATAGGGATGTGTACTTTGATAAGCTTGAGAACATTTTCCATGCTCGTGTATCTGAAAAGGAGCTGAAAGAAGAGGAAAGGGAATTGAAAAGCATGATTTTAGGGTCCAACATGCTGATGCACACTTATAATCTCAGCTACCCCAGCTACTTAAGAGGCAGATATTGAGACCAACAAAAAGTTAGCAAGACCCCATCTCAACAAACAAGGTAGGCATGGCGGTATATATCTATAATTTCAACTATGCAGAAGGTATAGGTAGGTAGATCATGCTCTAAGGCTGGCCCAAGCAAAAAGCATGAGACTGTATCTAAAATATAACTAAAGCAAAAAAGGACTGGAACATGGCTCAAGTGGTAGAGTAACAAGTGTAAAGCCCTGTGTTCAATATCTCCCCTACTCCCAAAAACACCATCATTCTTTCCTGTCCATGTGATTTTGTGAGATACCTTTGAGATGCAAGTCATTTGAAGTGAACAGTATGTTAGGGCTCTTTCACTGAGAATGGTGGGAGAAATAAGTTCTCAAACATGAGAGCTATTTCAGGTTGGGCAGGCAATAGTGGAGTTTGAACTCAGGACCTCACACTTGCTAGGCACAGGTTCTACCACTTGAGCCACTCCACCAGCCTGTTTTGTGATGGGTTTTTTTGACTTAGGGTCTTGCAAACTATTTGCCTGGTTCACATCGAACCTTAATCCTCCTGACCTCTGCCTCCTGAGTAGCTAGGATTAAAGATGGGTGTGCTGCTGCTCCTCCTTCTTCTTCTTTTTAACTAAACTTGGCTAAAATAGAGAAAATCACTCAAAGGCTTTTCTCCCACGAGAACTTGCTTGGAAAAAGCAGGACTCTTTGGGATTCACTGTTTTGTCAGAGGTCTATGTAGAGGACCTGGAGGGAATGAGGAATTTATGTCAGGAGTAAGACGATCCCGTAGTTTGAAATTGCTGAGAAGCTTATATACCTTCTTCCTGGGGGAAATGAGAAAGAACGCAGCAATTTAGGGGAGGTAAGTGATTTCTGGCAAAGGTTAGTAGACCCTCAGAAGAGAAGGTAAGGACTGGAGGTGTGGTTCAAGCAGTAGAGCACCTGCTTTGCAAGCACAACACCATGAGTTCAAACCCAGTCCCCCACCCAAAAAAAAAACCACAAACAAACAAAAATAGAGTAGGTGGCAGGTTGTGTCACAGTCTGTCTGGCATGGCGCCACCCCCACGCTCCTCTCCTGTGATGCGGGTTGGTCCTCCCTGGTTAATGTAATTCATGGGGAGTGAATACATGATCATTGGGCTCCTTTTGGAGAACCTATCATTAGGCAGACAAGGGGAGCTCAGAGAAAACCCCTCCTGCATTTTCTGTTCCCCAGATGCCTTCAGTTTGAAGTCTAAAGCTGCATGTTTTGGCGTGATGTTTCCTGAATTCCTTCAACATACTGTTACAGTGTTACGTATGTAACAGGTGTACACCTTGATGAATTTTCACAAACTAAGTACTCCTAAGTAACAAGCAGTCAGGTCAGAAAACTAACATCCCATGCTGGGGTTGATGGTTCACACCTGTAATCCCAGTTATTCAGGAGGCTGCAATTAGGACAATCATGGTTCCGGGCCACCCCAGGCAAAAACGTTATCAAGACCCTCATTTTACTAAACAAATCAGGCATAATGCACACACCAATAATCCCAGCTGCAGAGGAGTCATAGGTAGGAGGATTGTGGTCCATGACCAGCCTCTGGGATAAAAAGCAAGAGATGCTATCTGAAAAATAATAGAAAGTAAGGAGAGCTGGAGGAGGGGCTCAAGTGGAAGAGCACTTGTTTAGCAAGCACAAGGGTCTGAGTTCAAACTCCAGTACTTAGAAAACTAAGGCCAGCAGCATCCAAGGAGTTTCCCCACTCCCTTCCTAGCCAGCGGTAACCACTGCCAGGAAGCAGCTTTGCATGCTTTCGTAGAATCATCTGGTCCGTACTCTAGTGTGTCTTCTTTTGCTCCACATTGGTTTTGAGTTATCTCTGTTGTCGTATATAGTTGCTTTGTTTGTTCTTATTGCTGAATTCCACTGTGAGACCATTCCAGAACTTATTTACCTCTTACAGCATAGATGAATATGACTTATTTCCAAAATTTAGTGATTATGAAAAGTTGAAGAATATATAAACATGGGTGTATACCCTGGAGTCCCATGGCTGAGTTCTCAGAGTCACATATGTTTGGGTTTGGTTAAACATCACCAGTTTCTCAAAATGACTGTGTGTACTCCTTTACACTTCTGCTAACAGTACAGAAAATGTTCCATTTTATTGTAATTTTATTTATTTATTTATTTATTTATTTAAGTGCTGGGGATCAAACTCGGCCTCAAACAAGCCCTCTACTACTGAGCTATCTCCCCAGACCATCTGTGTTTTCACAGCTTTTTTTAAGATATAATTTACATACCATCAAATTCAGCTATTGCAAATATACAATTTGATAATTTTTAGTGAATTTATACTTATGCAACCATCACTGTCATGCAGTGTTAGAACTTTTCATCACCGTGAAATATTCTCTCTGCCCATTTGCAGTGACTTCTTTCCGTCCTCAACCCCAGGCAACCTGTGATCTATCTGTCTTTCCATCTGTGTTAAGATGTTAGGATGTATCCATGTGGTGGCAGGTATCAGTAGGCCGTTCCTTTTTATTGTCCAATTCCAGTATTCCTATTTCTTTTTTTACTAAGAGCTTTCTCAAGATTTATTCTTTCTTCATGTATGCTTCTGTGGTTTTAAGTGTAATCACAAAGTAAATAGTCAGCACTATCTACTTCTAGAATATTTTCTTCACACCACAAAGAAACCCCACAGCAATTAGTCACTCCCTATTCTCTGTCCCCACTACCCTTCCTCCATCCCTGTATTAGACACTAATACACTTTATAGCCTTACGGTTTTATCCATTTTAGATATTTCATATAAAATAGATCATAGAATATATGACTTCATCCCTGGCTTTCAGTTAGTGTAGTACTTTCAAGATTTTTGTGTTTGTATCAGAAGTTACTTCCATTTTATGGCCAAATAATACAGCCCTATATGGATATACCACCTTTTGTTCATTCCCATGTCAATTACGGGGCATTTGGAGGATCTGCTTTTATGCTGCTGAGAGCATTCGTGTTTTTGTGTGGATACATGTATTGAATTCTTTTAGATGTAAACTCAGGAGTACGGTTGCAGAGTCACATCCTAGCTCTTTGGAAGAACAGCCGGACTGTTTTCTGAGCATTGTCTCACCATGCTCCATCCATAGTGGGTGAGCGTTCCCACGTTTTCACAACCTTGCCAACACTTGTTATTGTGCATCTTTTGTATTTTAGCCATCCCAGTGGAAATGAAGTAGTTCCTCTTTGTACTTTTGGTTCACATTTCCCAAATGCCTACAGATGACACTTTTGTTCTTAAATGCACATCCGTGAACTCCTACCTGACCAAATGTTTCTCCTTTTTCCCCCTAATAAAACTTGGGAGACTCACTAGTAATTCGATGGTGCTTCAGGCAGCAAGCCACCCGCAGAGTCTTAGGTCATTGGATGACCTGTACAGCTTAGGTGACTGATCTTAGAAGGATGAGCAGGAAAGAGGCAGTGTCAAAGAAGGATCCCTTCCTCTTCAACAGTTTTTTATAAAAAGAAAGATTTTAAAAGAGGAGGGCGATATTCTGTGATCTTTCAGGTGGATCAAAAAGAACCAAGCCCATCTGAGTTGGTGTCTCTGTCAAATGGTCATTGGAAGCTTTCAGTGCACAAGAAAGCTATGATGCTCAATGCATTTATTGGTTGTTGAAGAAAGAAAATAACTTAATTAATTAAGGCAAGAGTCATTAAATTTTTTTTAGTTAAGGGCCAAAATAGTTGGGACTTTACAGGCCATAGGGTCTCTGTTGTAACTCTTCCACTCTGCCATTATATCATGAAGGTGGCCAAAAACAATAGGTATATGCATGCTTATAGAAAATGTCTTCTAATAAAACTTTATTTATACAAATGGCTTCAGAACAGATTTGGACTGAGGACCCTAGTTTTGACCCCTGCTCTAGAGGGTGGTTCAAGCTAAGATGAAGAAACCCTAGGCTTATTTTAAGGT